ATAATTCGCTTTTTTCCAAGATCATTAAATAAGGATTATTTATTACATTTCATAATGGGAGATCATAAAAGCCAGGGCTCACACATTTAGTCAACAGGTACATGGGTGCTTCAGGTGTCTCCCTTGTTAATGCTCCTCAGGGGAGATTAAGTATTAATATCAAACCGATCTAATCTACAAATATGAGCAGCAACCATGATGTCATTGTGAAAAAGCTGGAATATGAAATACACAACATGAGCTCCAGCAAGCCACTTTATCAGTTATCTCTAGATAGCATGTGTTAGCTAATATGACATTCAGACTACATGTCGATGTTCATTTCAACAAGTCCATTAATATTTTTGGAGATCTACTTCTGGCTCATGTCTTATGCTGCGTTCACACCGGACGCGATGCGACTATTCGCTTCGCTCTAATCGCTCCTATCGCATCGCTCTAAACGCTGGAGGTTCACCGCGGCTGCCAGCTGTGTTTACTCGCATCATTCAAACAAGACGCGCTGGCTCGGGAGCTACAACTACAACAAATGAACATATTTTACCGTGATTAAATTGTAATACACGTTTCTAAATGATGCCGAAGTAACAACATACTGATACCGGTTAGTAACAACCATGAATTAATGCTTTGACAAGTCTGCAGACAAGACGGCAGGCAAAAAACCTTTTAAAATGCTTGTTTTCTGAATGAAGATCGGGTCAACCAGGCTAAGCTAACGTTGTATATGCTCATTCCACACTCACAACAACGGCCTACAGACATAAATAAGCAGCGACTGTATTCGCCATGACACAGACAGTCTGTGGTTTGTACTTGTTTAACTTTTGTCCAGTTTCTGAACGAATATGAGGAGCTGTGAGCTCTGTGTGCTAACTGCTAACAGCTAACGGCTGATGTTGTGTGGTTGAACGTCAGTGACGGCGGCTGAGATCCTCACCGCTGATTGGCTTCCGCGAGAACGCGTCACGTGAATTTGACGCTCGAGTTGAAAAAATTGAACTCTCGCGTTTAACGCGGCACTGTTCAATCGCCTCAATCGTGTGATTCGCGCTGCGTCCACCGCTTCATGCGCGCCGTCGGAGCGAATTCGCGTCTGTCCACGTCTCTGCATTGACTTTACATGTAATCGCGCCGCCCCCAAACGTCGCATCGCGTCCGGTGTGAACACAGCATTAGGCCTATATGAAGTACTGGTGGTGGGTTCTACTTTTTCAAAGATGCAAATCATGTATTGGAAAGGTAAATCATATCAATTCAGCTGTTTTGTGCATTTTATCCCATAGTGTAACAAAAGCAAAAAACAAATCAAATATATTTGAAAAGATTACTCAAACAAAATCCAAGATCGGGTTCGATCAAGTAACAGTGTACTCGCAAAGTATTTATGTAGTCACTAACCAAGGGTTCACTGAGGGAGCTGTTAGTTCTGCAAAACAAAACAACATAATAAGTGACAAATACAAAGTTGCGTGGATCAGTGAGTATATTATGATTTTTAGTACAGCCAAAAGGATTATAAAACTTCTCAAACGTTTCCCTAAAGCATCGGTTTCCACCATCGTTAGCAATAATCAAAAGCCATAGCAGCAGAGGTCAGTTTGTGGAGGAGGTGGAAAATCCTCTGCAACAGGGATTGTTTGAACCGGTTTGAACCCAAACGCAGCACACAGGAAACCGGGAACAGTTGTCATGTTTAATTTCAAATCTCAGCTGGTACAGGGTCAGAGACAGAAGGCTGGTGGGTTTACCGGGAATGAGGCGAAGAAGGCAGGTCAGAGGCAGGCAGGGTCGGCAACGGGAAGTCAATCCGGAACAAGGTACTGGAGAGGGTTGCATGAAAGGTGAAGCAAAATCTGGCAGTGGGCGTGTGAGAGGTTTAAATACTGGCTTGATTGGAGATGAGATGCAGCTGGGAGCACAGGTGAGCTGATTTGGTGGGCGTGGCTGTCAAGGTGGGGCGAGGTGGAGAGGCGGGGTTTGTGGAAAGTGCTTGGTGCAGCAGCTAGGGAGAGAAGCAGACTGTGAAAGAAAATAAATTACATTTTAAAATATATCCTGACAGGTAGGCTTTGGTTGGAATAACAGATGTCCATGTCATTTTAAATGTGACATCACATTTAAATACAAAGATTATTTTAAAAAAAACTCAAAGAATGCTAACCACACTGACACGTATGTAGCTAGCCCTCCCCGCTGTTGTTCAATGCTATACATTTGCCAAACTGTCTACTCTTATAAAAGTTGAACATAGTTTTGTGAAATACATAAAATGAAGTATAAACCGAACCTCTGCTTTTCGTGCACCTGCTTGCGTTGATCACAGGAAAGTGTATAGTTTTCTGTGGTTTCTGTAGTTTTCTTCCATTATTTCCTTCATTTTCATTGGCTATTTCTGGAAATAAGAAATGTTGAATTCATGTCCCTGATGCTAAAGGCTATCCCTATTAGTTGACATTTAGTTTCTGCTGGAAAAACTACACAAAAAGAGTCATATTGTTGACCAGGTAGCTGCGCTAGCACTAGCATTAGGCAGCATCTCAACAATCTCCGAGCTAGGAAGCTAACAGCGTTGATGACCTGCAAAAAAAGTGAAAAGAAGAATTAAATGCATTTCAAATTGAGCTTAAATTCAAAGTATTGAATAGCCTGTCACACATCTTTATATTCTGTATTTAATTGTATTTTTATGTTTTTAAATAATGTATTTATTTAATACTGATTTTAGAAATGTGGTCTGGATGATCTTGATAACCACACTTTAAAGGTGGGGTAGGTGATTTTGGAGAAACCAGCTCCAGTGCGCTGGAATTTGAAAATACACAACCGGAAAAAATCTGCCACTTCCTTACAGAGCCCCTCCTCCAACACACACGAGCACGCACGTGACCAATGAGGGCACGAGATAAGTTTGTGCACAGATGGAAGGCTGACAGGCAGGTAGGCCATCCAGTTATTTTAGCCGGGCCGGCTAAAATGATTGATCGTGCTTTTTACAGTACTACGGCTTCCACAGATGACATTTTTTTATGGATTTTTTGTCAAAGCACTTAAGATATTCATTGCTATCGGGATGTTAAGAGCATTCCATGGAATATAACAAAAAGTGTATCTCGAGCCGGTTTCTCAAACTTACCTACCCCACCTTTAAGTGCTTAAAAGCTCAAACAGCCTAAATGGCACTGAAGAGCTAGTACACTGTCACAAACCAACAAATAACACTATTACTTTATGTCTTTTTTGTGTTATAGTTTAAACTATTGCAACTTGCATTTAAAATGATAAAATAAGGTATATCACACTGACACATAAATGAATATCAGAGGCAGAACCAGCATTACCACATGCTCTTTGTAGAGTGTTAGCGTTCTTAAATACTATAATTAGTCGGCCCACAGTGGGCATTTAGACTAACTGACCTGTGGGAAATATTAGTGATGTACTGACCCAGCTCAGGACAGCCTGGACCGGCAGATCCAGGACAGATCAGAGCCTTATTTGTCCAGAGTCAGGGCACAGCAGGAGCTTAAGCTGAGTGCTCCAGCCTTGGCAGGAACTCACAAAGAGGGGAGCAGCGTGTGGATGAAGGACATCACAAGAGAAGATTTTGAGCTGGAAGCAGTTGAACCAGAAACCTGAAGCACATACTAAATCTGTAAGAAAGTAAAGGCTTTTCTAATACAAGTACGTTTTTTCATGAAATAATAGAGCCAGTGGAACAAAAATATATTTTGCAATTTGCTATGCTGTTTGCTGTTAGAAAGAAACAGAGAGATCAAGGACATTGAACAAAGAGGGGGAGAGGAAGGAAGGTAAAATAGATGTTTTTGTGTTCCACCTACAGTGTGACAGCAACCTGTTCAGCACTTTGTAGCTCACAGTCACTTGCTCTTCCTTAGACTGTATAGTTTTACCATCAAAGCGTTTGCTGTGGTCGCATAAAAACAACTTCCTTTAGTCAGTATCAAAGCTTCCGGGAACTAATCAGTTTAGTAACCCCAACATGTAGTGTGTTTGCTGCAGGAAGCTACATTTACATTTTCCATTCAGAGACTAATCTTCTGGTGAATTGTTCTTTTCGCTTGTGATGTCACATTTACATCCTGAAACCAAGCTGTTGCTGAAAAGAAACCTCTATTTTGATACAATCTCGCAAATATGGCTATGATCATGCGCACTGAGTTTTTTGTTTATTTTTTGTTTATTGAATTGTCTCAAGTAGGAACAGTGAGTGATACCTTTTTAAATAGAATAATTGATAGAGCCCACACTCCCTCACATGGCTTTGAACAGTTCTAATGTATGTAATCTTCTTCCTTCAGCCCCTTCTAAAGTGGATATATCATCTGCAGGCAAAGATAGACATACACATCAATCCAAAGCATGCACACACACACACACACACACACACACACACACACACACACACACACACACACACACACACACACACACACACACACACACACACACACACACACACACACACACACACACACACACGTTGAAAGAAAGAAAGACATGGGGACAGGGAACAAGAGAGGAATCTGAATCCAAAGTACCAGAGGAAGAGCACAGTTCATCAGTGGAACAAACACAATGCTCTATCTCACACAGCAGGTGTGTGGATTACCTTTTTAATTGGATCTTTGTGCGAGTCTGGCGAAGGCAAAGGACTGCTGTAGTCACTGTTGGAAGGCATGTGATAGAGCAAGGAAAGGGCATGGGGAGAGCATAATAAGGGAAGTGACTTTCAAAATGTTTTGATGTGCGCTTTTGGAAACACAAGCCCAATTACCACCAAGACACATGCGCACACTTTGCACATTTAGAGAGGATGGTAAGGGCTATTCCTTACTTCTCTTATCTGCTGGAGGCGATATAAAGGGACAAACCAACCCAGTGGAAGGAGGAGTCAACTGAGTATGTTCTGCCAATTAATCATTTCACATTCCTCATTGTATCTGTTTGGACCAGGAACACATCGGATCATCATCATCATGAAATTAGATCTCCTCCAGTCCACTGGGGGCAGAGTGCAACAGATGGAACAGCAGATGGGCCAGGTGAGACAGATGTCAGATATGCAAATGTTCTCCTCATCCACCTCCTCCACCTCCTCCACAAGCTCCACCAAGCTGCGAAAAGTCTCTCAGGGCTTGTCAAGGACCATGGAAGTTAGGAATTATCCACTGAGATCAACTTCTCCTACAGTGTGCGAAAAAGCACCCGTCCCACTGTCCGGGACGTGTTATTTACAATGTCGGACAAGTAGATCTTTCAATTGACTTGTCCGGCGGACAAGTGACGTTTTTAGCCCTCATTTATTGACAAATTATTGATAAACTCAGTTTACAAAAGGCAGAACTCATTCGCAAATTGTCCGTGTCCGCCATTGTTCGTTTAGAAATGTTAGTTTCGGTTCTGCTTGTCGATTCCTGCATCTCGCCGCTTTCTGTACTGTTAGGCGGGACGGGGCGGGGCGGGGCGGTGCGGTGCGAACGTGTAGCACAGTGGCAGGGTTGGGAAGCAAAACTCGGTTCCGAGTAGGAACAAATAACAATTGTCCGGTACCGGGATTAATAAGAGTTGTGAGGACAGGAGGCGAGGCCGAGCCTCGCGGACCGCAGCTCTCTCTGCGCTCCGGATCATCTGATCGCTGCACGGTGCAGTTCAGCGTCTCTCTCTCTCCCTCTCTCTTTCTACACACAGCGGACCCGCTGCCCGTTTAACAGCCTAATCTTTGTCAAACTTTCTTATGTTCTTTCTTTAACACGTAATGAAGGTTATTAAGCGTTTTAGCTCCTACGTTGTTAATATTGACGCCATTTCCTTTATGAAATAAAGCAGCCTCCCTGTCTGTGTCCTCGCGTTGTCCTCACATCCCCCGACCCCCAGACTCGGAGGAGCACAGGGATGTCAGTATTGTTTATGAAGCAGGGTATAGAAAGTACATTATTGAAATGAAAATACTATTTATTTACAAACAGTGAGCAGCTGGGAAGCTGCAGCATGTGTATTTCAGGACATGTGTAAACATGCAAGCGTCTTTGAGTTGTAGAAAAGCGCTAGGCCTATAGGCTATAAATATAATGTATTATTATTATTATTATTATTAGGCTTATGTGTTGGACATGTGTGGTTGGACCCTGTCTCACAGGCAGGTTGCAGTGTAACATCAGAGGAGACTGGGCCAATTGTACATTCTCAAACTGCACCACATAGAACTAACTAAACAATGCAGAGATTATTTTTTATATAATTGTATTCAATAACCGTAAGAAATTAAACAGTATGAAGTGATTTGTAAATAGGAATACAGGTTTGACTTAATGTTTTCATAAATATGTTTTTCTCCCAGTTTGTCATGGGACTTATTTTTACCCTCTCAAAGAACCGGAATCAAGAACCGAAAATAACCGGAATCGAAAAGCAGAACCGGAATCGTTAAAATCCAAACTATACCCAACCCTATGTGTGATGCATTAAAATCTTACCGCTCACTTACGTTAGCGGTGTCGTAAAAAACGTGGGAAAATGTAAAATACGTTGGCGAAGAAGAAGATCCAATGGCCCCAATTTTTGTCCATCCTGGACAAGTGAAAAATGTATTCGGACAAGTAGATTGCCAAACTCACTTGTCCATGGACAAGTACTCTCTAAAAACTTTTTCTCACACTGCTTTACATCTGTCATACTTGCTAATATAACCTTTTTTAATTATGAGACATTGCTTGAAGAACCCTCTATTATAGGAGTCATCAATTTATTGAGCAAAAATGGCACAATTGATGAATGGTTAAAATAGTACCTTCAAAAAAAAAATTCTTACTGTGCGGAACAGTGTTTTTTTATGTTTGAAACTTTTCAATTATGTCAGGCTGCCATGTTAAGCTCCTGGCCAAATGCATACCAATATTAGAGCTAATCAACTACATTATTTCTGTACTTCAGTGCAACAAAAACACATTCAAAGTCATAATGATAATATCACATTTGCATGTGAGGCAGATTTGCATAGCCTGCCTTTTTGTACATGATTATGATGTCCTTTATGCTCCCTCAGAGCACTCTTGGGCTCAGTGTAAGACCTCCGCTGGTGGAGTCCTTCAGCCATGGTACTGAAATCCCCTCAGATCCCAGAGGGAGTGTCTGTCCCAGATTTTGATGAGAAGCTGCGCCCTATCACTGCCCAAGAGGGTGAGGTGATCCCACTCGCTTGAAATTTAAAGAAATGCCCTTTGCGTCCCCTAATATCTCTCTTCACAATGCATTATTAAAACCTGTTAAGCCCCAAGCCTGTTTTTCAGGTCTCAGGCTCGAAAATGACATTCCCAGAACAAATGACTATATCTTCACTTCTAAAAGGGGTAAATTAATCATCTTTTTTCTCAAAGCAATGATAAACCTGTGAGTTGGATGTAGATGAGTCAGAATCAATATAGAATTGTTTTATTTTAAAGTAAATTCAGATTGAACATAGTAAAAAAATGTAAATGATAATGTCCGTCCAAAATAAAAACATTATTTATAGTGAAAACCACCCTTGAATGATGGGATAGTAGACTAACAGCTTTAGGAATCCAAACTATAACATATAATGAGTACCCTGTATCAAGATTGATGCAAAACAAGTGACATTTGACCTTTTTAGAGAGGTTTAGCAACACAAAAAAAACTTCTGGGGTCATTTGGGTGGATTTGCATATCTCTGGCCCCCCTCGGTCGATTTTGATGATTGACACCTCTTTTGAACTGTTAGAGCCAATAGAAACGAGAGGGAAGTTCCTAAATCCACCTACACGTTACCATTGAGGAATGAGAGTGATGCGCACACAGCTTTCCCAAACCGAAAGCTATGTTACGCTCTGAAAACTGTTAACTGTTATAGCCATAAATATGATGATGGATTATCAGTAATCATTTCAAAGGGACACAGAGACATTGAATTAACCTTCAGCAGCGTTTTCATCGTTTTAATGCCATTGAACACAACTTTTGATCAGAAAAACAGCAAAGGTAAGACATATTTGCCGTTTTGGCTCCATAAAGCTACATGGTGTGTTGTCTGGGTTTGCCTTCCCTGCCCTGAGGTCGCACAGTGATGATACTTATACCTCTAGAATCTGTGGAATCTCAGCTTTAATATGATATCTTGTTTGTGCAGATCCGATAAGTAATAAAGTATTTATACCGTGAGTTCTGTGCTAAGTGCGTTAGCATTTTTTCGCTCAGGGCTAATTCAGAGGCTCGGCGTTAGAGTTGTGTTTTGTTTCGGTAAAAATTGTTCATAACGTCAGTTAGCTGAGTTTCTTCCCGTTAAATGGGTATGATACATTAATAGGTTGTTAAATGTCAAGAAGCCCTCAGACGCTGTTTCTTGCAGATGTTGCGTTTTTGCCCCCGCCCGCGGTTCAGGTTCAACTGTGGGCCCTTGAGACTATGAGAGAGCTCCGTTTAAGCACATTTTAGTTCCTTACTCATAGTTTGCCTAGAAACTCCAGATGACACAAGCAAAGGGAACTAATAGTTTTTTGCATCTATGTGTAAACTTTAGATTTCACTCTCTGGGTAGTGTACATCTTCTCTGATCAATGTCCTGAATAAGACCCCCACATAGCTAAAATATGCTGTGATAGAGTTTGTAAGAGGTGCATGTGCTTCTGCTGAATACTAGTGCCTGTTCTACATAAACTGCAAGAGTTTGAGCCCCACTCTGGCTCTACCTGAATTATAGATTAAGACACCCAGTCACAATATGCAGAACACTGCGGAGTAGCCATAGCATTAGCATTCATAGGATGACCTTAAACTCAACTGTACTAAAAGGAAAACAGGAAAAGATGGGGGTATTTATTCCAATATTAACCAATTGTAGTTGATGGTGTTATGTTTGTTAACAATAATTAATAATGTATAAAAGAGAGGAGTAACAGTACTAACTCTGTTGCTCACTTATCTTGAGCAGATTACATGCATTAACCTGATCTGTCTGTTATGACATTCATAGGTGACAATGCTGTGTTCAAGGCCAAGGTGCTTTGCCAGCTGTCTGACACGATAACATCTTTTTATGACAACATAAACATTCGGCATACTCAAGGTTTGTCACTAAAACTGCACAGCTTACAGAGTTCCCCAGTTATTAAAGGATCTCGCTGACACTTGAAATCAAACCAAGGAGTTTGATTTAACACAACAATGGTCCCGATACAGAAATAATGTTTGTGTTGAACACCCATCTATATTGAGTCTCTTTAGTTTTCCTCCCTTGTGTAGTTTGATATGACTTTGCAATATGTTATATTAAACAAGTACCTTTGTAAATTAGTCAACTCTATGTTTGTATTATTTCAGTCATTTAACACGATAAATAGTTGCATATATCAAACTGGTTTCTGGTTGCTTCATTGATGGCATATGACCTAAAACAAAATTATTTAATATTGGACAAATCCATTACATCTGTCCAAATCTGATAATCACTTATCTAAAATAAATCTATGAATGGAGCTCAAGTATATTCTATGACCTAAAAGCAATTCAATTAACAACTCCACAAGTAAATCTTATTGCGTTTTCCAAGATACTGTGGCTCATTTTTTTAAAGGTGTTTGACCACACCACACTCCTGTAAGTGCAGAAGCTCTATGCAGCCTTTCCTTAATCCGAGGGGCTCTGCCCTCTTGGTTCTGTCAACTTAGACGGCACACCATGCATCATGAGGAAAAGTAGGGAGAAAGAAAAAAAAACTCTCTGATCCCTTTATCTATAACCACTCTGGAGTGGATTTAGCACTTTCTCTGTACCAGCCTCGGAGCTTAAGTGAAGCTTAAATAGCTATTATAAAGCAATTAACTTGTGGGTGCTGACATATGCATCTCCCCCTGCCATCTGTTTCTCTGGTGAGGGATGACTGTTAAGTTGAGGCGCTAAATGTTTACTGGGTATTCCCAGCATGGCACTGCCTCCTTCTGCTCCTCATAAGTACTGCAGTGGGATTTAAAGTGACCCGACAATGCAATGACAGTATGACAGTTTTAGATCCTGCAGTGAGCAACAAGCAAGCCATTTTCATTTAATTGATGTCACCTGTATGTAATGAATTCCAGATAAAAAACCTGACCCTGGAAGATGCTGTTGCCTCCAAAAGCACGGAGAAGCCCCCTATTCTGTATTCTCATTGTTACAGAAAGTGAGTTTATCATTCACTCTGTGAACTCTTTTGATATATTTATGTGTCTTCAGCTTAGTTTACATGCTGCTTTCCATTCAGTGCCTCAGGTTAAGATGCTCTGTTTTTCATTCCAGATCTAGCGCTGGTCTTCAAAAAGATGCTGAAGAAGTGGTAGGAACACAAGCCTGCTGTATAATACTAGCCCTGACACTCCTAAAACATGGTGTGAGGGGGCTTTTTCTCATCCACCCATAGATCTTTTTTTGTGCATACATCCATAGATATCTTCAGCATGAGATCTAAAGAGGAGCAATGTGTACCATTGTCTGCCTGCAGGGGCAGATGCTCCTGAGCTATCATTGCACCAATTCATAGTGTTAGACACACAGTACATGGCATACAAACACTGGCACAGTAATGTGGGGAAGAGGGAGGAGAAGTGGCCCCCTACAGAGGAGGAGATGCTGAAGATCCTGGCTAGAGACGACAAAAAGGACGACGAGAGGATCTGCCCCGAGCACAGCTTCACCGACTTCAGAGCATCCTCAAGAAGCTGAAGGAGATGAAGAAGAAAGTGGAGGTGGAGGTAGGCCTGTCATACAGAGAGCTTGTCTGGTACCGCAGGATCACATATAAGGAAGAAAAGGAGTGGGATGTAAAACAGCTCAAAATAGAGAAGAACGGAAAAGGGGGAAGAAAAGTTTAATGTTGCACAGCCATGGCAACAAAGGTTTGTCGCATAGCAACACCAAAGTCAATTTATGTGAAGAATGAGAGGGGGGTGACATTTTTGTGGCGTGCCTGAAAAAAAAAGTTTGATTATTTATTTTCCAGATGGTAGGTGTGCTGAAGCCCCTTGAGGACATCACTGCCAAAGCTGACACCAACATCGTCTTTGACACCATCCTGAAACTAAAGATCCAAACATCAGGATGCAGTGGTTTCTGGTGAAGAACTGATGTGCGGGCATGTTTTGAATAAAGTTTCTATATACAAAAGTGTTTGTTCTATCCCAAAAAACGTGCGAGTCCCCTTTCATCTTGGCATTTTGTTTACGATTCAGGGCGCAGAGCTGCTGCGGATCCAGTACTCTCATGGGAAATAGGAAGTGAAACAGATGGGAACCAAGCACCTGCTGTGCATTTCCAGCCTGAGCCTCGGTGACACGCGCACCTACACTCTGCAGGTTGCAGACAAGAGACTGTCAGCCAAACTTAACGTCATAGGCAACTACAGAAGTCTTTCCAACTGCTAGTAACTCAGAGAGACAAGGTCATCATTGACTAAATTACCCTAGTGTCACTTTCTCTCTTTGTTTGTTTAACAGATAGGAACATGTTTTATTCAAGCATAATGCCCATACGTGCACGTCTGATTTTTGTTGTACATTTATTGTCAGTTATTTGTCTTGTCTCATCCCTCATCCCATTTACAGGACATTATGTAGCATAAACCATCAGTCAGAGATGGCTTTCTCTCTTAAGGGATTTTTTTTGTTGTCGCATTTTTCAAGCAAATATTGCCAGACATCTTTTGTAGCTTACAAATCCTACTATTTGGCATGGCTTCCTCCCTAGTGAAGTGTTAACAAGATTAAGTATACACTTTAAATCATGTGATGAGGATGTCTTTTTCTCTCGTCTCTGTCCTTCAGATGAACCTCTGAAATTCCTGTCTGACTTAAATCCCAAAAAGGTAACAGACTGCCATGTTCGAAGTCCGCCTCTCTCAGAAGACGGATTCAGCTCTAATCTGGAAGGTTTGTACGTGACCCAGAAAGACATTTTTCCAAAAGCATATGATATATTTGCTATATTTCTAGGAGTTTTTGACATCTAGGAAATCAAAATAACACACAAATGTACTGACAACATTATAGCAAATCGTGAACACAAGGGAAATACACGACTGAAAAGGAATATAGAAATTGTTTTCACAGAAGTTTTGGTGTTTTGGCAGGTAAAGGGAGAGGAAGTGAAAAGAGATGAAAAGTTTGACGTGTCCCTGTCTGAGGATGGTCTGAACTACACCCTCAAGATTAAGGATGTGAAAGTCAGTGAACCTGGAGACTAACCATCAGCATCACCTCACTGCCACCGTGCCACTTTTTATAGAACGTAGGGTGTCGTATTTTACAGGCAAAACTTTTTGTTATGCTTTGTTTTTTCCCTACAGGCCTGTGTCTTCCTGTTTTAGTGGAGCTAGCATTTCTAAGGAAACAAACTTCCCCCTTCAGACTCGGTGGAGATGAGCAGTTACTGCCTTGGATTCGTCCCCTGAGATCAGAGGCATGGTTTCTTCTTAGCTGTGCTTAACGAGTTCATCTTCCCTGTGTCGTCCAAATGAAGACGTATGGATAGCATAATAAATCCTCTCTCCTAGTGATGAGTTGAAAGTAATCCAAGCAAATCCCTCCTCACAACAAGCTCATTTATTACGCCTGTGTCTAACAAGATGCTTACTTGCCTAAGGTGGAAGCTGGAGCATGTAAATATCTTTACAAGGACATGTGGCTGTCCTCTGGGGTTGCAGGAACAGAAGCATAGTAATTGAGGTTGAGCTAATTAAGGTTGTTCATGAGAAGACTGTATATCTCTTGTTATGTAACTATAAGTCGTGTAAGCTGCTGTATGTGTTCAGACTGAATATAAAAGAAGAAACCTAAAAAGGTTACAAAATTCAAGTTTGTTCACCTTATAATCTTGATTTCCCTTTTTGTTGTTTTAATGAAACTTCTTTTGCGTGTATTTCAAGTAAAGAAAAGACCAAAAATGTTCAAAAGGTCCAAAAACTTAGAGTGACTTATCGTTTTGTTCTTACTGAACTTCATGCACAAGGGGATTTCTTTCCATCTTTTTTTTTCATTAAGTTCTAATATTTGAACATGAGTTATAAATAAGAAATGAACAAAGCTGTTTTCTCTTTGCCAGAGCGCTTTGCCTCAGTGAAGAGCAGTATGTCAGATGCTCAGTGTCCTACAGGCTCCCCTGCAGAGTTGTGCGTCAAACTTATTTTTTTAAACTGGCATTTAAAAATGTCAAGCATACATAGTGTTTTATCTGCTGTCGGTCCACTGCCTTGAACATACTGAAATAGTTCAACAGATGGATTGCCATGAAAATTTGACGTAATACATTTGTGTTACAATGACAATTAATCCTAATGGTTTTAGTGATCCCCTGATCTTTACTGTCTTTGGCCACCAAGAGGATTCTAGGTTGTTTTTATTCCTGAGAAATAGCAACAACAATGGGATGAACTGATGGATGTGCATGACATTAGGTAAAGACATCCATGCTGCCGAGAGATTGAAAATGAGGTTGTTAACATCAGCACAAGCAGGCAGTACAGCCTTGCAGAGCAACAGCATTAATGTGCATTCTTGGTTGTGTTAAAGTGATACCCATGGCATATTCACACAGCTTAAAAAAACGTTGATATTGCACCTATTTATTCAAGTCATTCGCAGAAGAAGTTTAACATTGTGTGAGTCAATGTCTGTTACCAAAACAGCTTTCATCATTTTTCTTAAACATAATATGCGTGTCACATTTGACAGATTTCTGAGCTGAGGGGGTCCTTGTGGTCAAACAGGGAGCCGTCCACAGGCTGATCTTCTCTGATGTGACTGACGCTCATGAGGGCAAATACACTTTCAGAGCCAAGGGGGCTGAGAGCGAGGCTGTACCCACTATTGCAGGTTTGTATTACAATTTTGTATTTGAGTATGTATTCACAGATGGGGGAAACATACAGTTTAATACTTAAATCGACTAATGCTACTAAACCTATACTGAAAGGCAATTAAAACTATAAACCTACATTTACAATTTAAACATATAATGGTTTCACAATCTTTAATGACCCTATTTTCCAGATCCTCCGGAAATTGATTCCTCTGTTGTTGGGAGCTCAACCTGTGACTTTGAAGGCAGGCCAGACTACCTCTATTAAGATCCTCTTTAAGGGCAAACCCCCTCCCAAGGTCACCTGGTACAAGGAAGGTGCGGAGGTCATGGAGGATGAGAGGACTGAGGTGGAGAGGATGGCTGACGGCACCATGCTGGTGCTCAGCAGGTGGGTGAGGCGTCATCCACTCAGATATTTAATGATCTTTTTAAAAGGTCACACACAAATTAAAATATAATTAAACTTCTGCTCTAACTCTTGCTGTTTACTAGATGTGTGCGAGAAGACAGTGGAGCAATGATGCTCCGTCTAAAGAGCGACTGTAGCAGTGCAGTGGCCAACCTGCACGTCAATGTGATTGGTAGGTGAAAACACATGTTTGACAAACAAAAGGTTTCATTCAACGCAGATTTTAAATATTTAATATTTTACTCTCAAAAGGACTATTTGTATATACATTTTTCATCCCTCGTAAACTTAAATTCTTTGTAATTCTCACATACGTTTACTGTAATCACATTTTAAGAAAAAGAGGAAATCCTTTATGAATTAAAATATATGAGGGCCATGTTTAACCATCGTAAAACACTATCAAAATACTTAAGCATAAATAGTGTCGGGCTAGGCTAGGGAATGTTTGTCCCAATCATTTATTTTATCTTAGAGGCTAAAAATAGCAAAAAAACGAATATTTTTTCAAGAATTGGAGGTTATACAGGATGAGTACTTGATATACAAATGCTAATTTTATGGCTAACATATTCCTTAAAAGCATTTTTCTCATTGAAAAAGATTCCACAGACCATCCTAAGCCTCCTCAAGGGAAAGTGGAGTTTCTTGAACTATCAAGAAAGTGTAACAAGATGGTGGAAAACCCTGCGGTACAATGGAGGTAAGCAAGTGACCAGCTTTGTGATTGAACGGAGCGTGGCTGGTAAGAAGTCCTGGACCCTGTTGGTGAAGTAGACAGCAGGGCCACCATCTTCCCAGATAACAAAGTGGAGGAGGGCCGGGCCTACCAGTACCGCATCAGGGCCGTGAAGGTGGAGGGAATGAGCGACCCTCTGGAGACAGAGGAGGTGCACGCTGGAGAACCTGTAGGTGAGAGCTAATTATAAGTACAATATTTATTATTATTTATAAAATGGCATCGTCAGAATCATCTCTCGAAACATTGAAGAAACTGTGCAAAGTAAGATAGAGGGAAGACTAGTAATCACCATCATTGTTCTTATCATTTTAACCTTCATTCGTATTATCACCACAGCCATTAAAATGATCATGTCATCTTCAAACTCACCTTCTTTACCAGCTCCCTTTTTCCATATCTCCTAGTTCACTCGTGTTTTACCCAGAGCCCCCAGGCAAAGCGTCCCAGCCCCAGGCTAAGCCTGATATATGAACAAACCCCTCTGATAAAACCTTAAGAATATAGATCGAAATAAAAATGTAATGGGCTTGCTACTAAAGAAGATATTTGAAAATGAAATTGAGGCTCTATCTAATGCTAACTTGAACTGAATACCGATAATAGTATAACATGCATGTTTTTGCCTGTATTGTCTTCCTTTTCTTCACTTCTTCTTTGTCTCTTTGTATTTGGTGTCTTACAGATAAGGATGACAAAGGTCTGTTTGAGAGCCTGACCAAGCAGGCGAACAAAGAGAAGTTGATTTTGTAAGAAGTCTGCTTCAGATTTCGTCACTTTGATTGGCCACCGACCTTATATTATGCTGCATGCTCTGTAGCCACTAACTGACTTTAGCTGTGGTTAGTCTTTAATAGATTAGAAATCTATAGATCAGATAGAACATCAGTTTATTTTGTTTTTGTTTAAAGTGCTGTTTATTCAACATCTTCCAACTTGCTTTGACACAATGTTCCAGTGTTAGTAATGCAACAAATGGCCACTAGATGTCATGCTTGCTCCCTTCCTTGTGAAGGCATTCTGCCCCAGGAGCAGATTAGTGTTTGGTGTGTTGAAGGGATTTTAACTCAATAGTCAGCTCACTCAAAGGTCATCCTTTCTCTCTAAATCACAAACGCTTTCCTCGATATAAAAGTCTACGTTTATCTTTTCTCAAGGGTTCACAGTTTTAGCCCAAATACAGTTGTTTTACAAGGCGTGGTGTACAAGGCCACATTCCATGTCAGCAGATGTGTCTGTCCTATATATCGCAGTGTATCATTTTCCCACAGGCACTTTGAGTCTGAGGTGGGTGTGAGAGCAGTCGGGCGCACTGCCAATCATGCAACTATCTCAAATCCTACTTCAAGTTCCCTTAGGTGTCCTAATGGTTAGGTTTGTTAACATGCATAACATGCAAAGCCCTGAGTTTGAATCCAGTCTACAACTTCTATCAGGCCTCGTCTTTTCTTCCCTGAAGAATTCCACTATGGACGATTGAGTAAATAACACATAAATGCATTCTAATATATTTCAGAAAAACATAGAAATGATTTAATCCTAAACCAATAACTTGCCACTGTGCATATAATGCTGCCAAAAAGTGTCATTTCTTTTATTGGCTCTGTCTAGACCAGGGGTGTCCAAACTAAGGCCCGGGGGCCAAATGCGGCCCGCGGACCATTTTGAATCAGCCCTCAGCAGATTGTAAAAGTATAATGGAATATGGCCCACAAATGAAACTTGTGCTTGTCTTATATTGTACTTCTTAAATATAAATGTAAACATATATTACACAGTAGTATTCATGTGTTAATAAAACCACTTTTCAAATAAATTCAGTCAATTCAAGTTGGAAACATTTTCGAACATATAGTTGATAAGAAAAAAGCCCAATGACTTATTTAGATAACAAGCTTGATATACACCCTTCATATTTATCCTTATTATAATCAATCTGAGGCTTCTGTTTTAAGGAATGAGCTGCCAACACTCACAAGCATATACATTTGATTGATCTTCCTAACTTATAACTGAACTTATGAGGCAATATACCTCTAGTGAGTGACCCAGCCCTTCGTATATTTTTCTGTATGTGGCCCTCTGTGAAAAAAGTTTGGACACCCCTGGTCTAGGCCATTAAAATAAAAACAATGAGAGTGAGGTGCTAAGCAGCTGTAGCCCTTTTTAAAAATCCCATTAATAATGTTATGTGACAGGAAGCAACTGGAACATTTTAAATAAATGATATCAAGTTTATGATTCATTGAAAATGGGGGAATAAAACATCTACATTTAAATATATAATCTAATATAATGCAGTAAGGCTCTCATGCATTCAATGGGATAAAGATATACAATTCTCGACCTCGCTCATTCCTGCACCCTGGCTGTAGCCCTGTATGACATCAGTGAAGGCCTCTGTATGGGCGTTGTCTCTGGGCGGTCTGCTGCTCCTCCAGAGAGTGAGTGGGGTCCGGTAAGGAGCTGCCAAACACACACAGAGAGGTTGAAACCCCTCTCCAGCCTGACGTCACTGTGCTGGCTCACACAAACTCCATTTCTACACAGAGACCAGGGGACTGCCAGGTCCAAATCAAGGCACCAACCTACGTCACCTTCCTCTTCCTCACTGCTCGGCTACGACACAATAAGGTTGAAGGAGTTTGAGCTGAAAGCCTGAATAGAAAGAAACTAATGGTGAAAGAGAATCTCAGATCATTCTTCTGCCTTTTTATTATGTTGCATTTATATAACTAATTCAATAGATTAATGAAGAAATGGTTTTCCAAATAGGAACTTGAATGAGGAAATATTTTACAACACTTGAATATTTCTGCTTCATTTCATCATATGTTATTTGAGTGGAAGGAAATGTCACCCTGCTGGTTTTATTAGGGCCATTACAGACATGTTTCATTTCCGTAGAAGACTGGAGTTCTTTGATGGTGAGACCTTGGCTGTGAATGAATGAGACGCTTTTGTAGAGAACTGGCATGGTTCCTACAGGAAAAACTATTAGATGTGATGTGTGTTTATAAAAAAAGAGAATAAAAGGCGACAGAACAAGAGGTTTGCAAGAGGAAGTATTGGTTGCAGTCTGGATTGCTTTCAACAGTTGAAGCCTGTTGAAAGCAGAATTTCCACCTCCACCAGACAATAGAGTGCAGCATCTACCCGAACAGAGCTCGCTGCTGTCCTGCACTCCTTTCTGCCCCAATGGCACTTTAGAGGCTAAGGGCCAACAGCTTCTGTAGAAACACTTAACCGTTATTTGAATGGCGTACATTTGATTCCAGCAAAACAAATAGAAAGACCAAAGCATGTTGTGCTGAAGTTGCATTGTAATTGCATTTATTTGTCCAATAGATATTCACATTCATAGCAAAGAAACTATTTCATCTCTACGGTCATGAAAGAAAGAAATCACAAAGTGAAATCAAGGACAACAAAGGTCAATTCTATGGTAAAAAAAACAAACATTTGTTCATAGAAAGAAGTCAAATAATGCTTTGTAAAAGGGCCTTCAAAGAAAAAAAAATGTGTTGTGGAAAACAAATCCAGCTCTTTCCACGGTGACAAAATATAACATTTGTGGCTTTTACTCTTCAAAACAGTTTGTAACACTTTAATGCCTTTTAAAGAAAAATGCTGATTCATGCGTCACTTTCTTGTGCTTAAACAATCAAAACAGTAACTTTATTGTCTCTATTTAAGACAGAAAAGACAGGAAATAAAATAGCATATACTTTGGAGGATACAGTACACAAAAATCGTTTTGTTTGAAACACTTCTTCTGGCCATAGTAGATTCAGATGAATATCATAAGGAAATTGCATTAATTTGACATACTACAAATAGTATCAATCTATACTGATGTTGGAGGACTGTCAGTCGTGGTGTAGTGTCATCACTGTGGACGACATGGAGGATTCAAGCTGGTTGTCATGCGTGTGTAAAGATAAACAAACTTCACGGTTCTATGTTTTGAATGTCAACCGCCGCTGCGCGATAATGGACACAGCACTTCAACAGCAAAGCTTCAATTCACGAGAAACAGCAGCAAAAAGAAAAAGAGAAAACTTTGAATCAAAGAAATGCCTTTTTTAAATTCATAGGACTGAGTGAAACTGTGGGGCCTCTTTACTACATCAGTTACTGGTTTCGGCTCCTGACTCACACACAGGCCTCCCACAGCTCTCTCAGGTCCCTTTTGTCTGCCAGTGCACACAAAGATCAGAACAACAGGGCTGTTGACAGGCTGAGGTAAAGTGATGCGCCTGCTGGCCGCCATCTGTGGGGACAGGATGGCAGCTAACAATCCGGATGGAAGGAGTCTTCCCCTGTGTGTCATATTTCACCTCCTCGCTTAATTTACAGCTACGGTATCGCTCAACAATGACCTCCTTCCTAAGTGGGGGGCAAAATGACCTCCAGCACCAACGAGGGGGTTCTCTGCCTCCCGCTAAACAAAGGTTGCTTGATACATGAGAAGCCTCTATTGCTAAGATCCACTCAATAAAAACGTTCATTTTGTGCTTTCAACTTTGGTTCTGTTTTGCCTATGGGCATAATAACTGGCAACTTACTGCTTCAATATTTGAATTGTTGCATAACTCAACTCAACTCAACACTCTTGGAGATCTTCCAAGTTTGGATAACATAAAAGTCTCAGAAATACTTCAGTGTGTTCTGGCATGTAGCCATTTGGAACTAAAGTCAGGGAGCTTTATGTAGCAGAAAACAAAGAAAGTGGTGCTTACATAAACCTCCCACAAAGACAGCTCGACTGAATCAAGTTCTTCCCTCATGCTCTTAATTCAGGATGCATACTAGATAGTCAATCATGATAACCAGCATCTCTGCTTAAACTCCATTAAACCCTGATTTATGACAGCATAAAGCAGACAATTGCATTTCAGCTAGTAAGACTCGCTGAGACTCAGACAAAGGCTGAAATTAATTGTGGACAGAAAGTTCTGCTGGGGGCTGGATATGAGATGAGAAGAGAGGGTACAGCAGAGGAGGCGTTTCAACAGTGCTGGGACTACAAATAAAAACACTGGGCTGAAGAAGGTTGGTCACACAGACACCCTGACGAAACCTGTCTGACTGACAAGGCAGAAATATGTTGCTGACCAGCATGCCGACAGGCCAAAAGGAGATTGAGGAAATATTGGGCAAAGGGTCTGCTAGGAATAGAAGCTTGAGCTGAGTGTGTTTCCTGGTCAGCTGTTTCAAAAAACCTTGATGCGTGTCAACACCACAGTCTGCCTGCAGATCTGTCATGGTGGCTGATGTGATGCATAAACATGTTTTGATGTGTGTGTTGCGCATGAGGGTGTGTTACTGACAGCTCCAGGGGTCATTGACCGAGTAAAAGGAACCCACAACATGGGTCTGCTTCTTTTCCATAGCTGGTTGTTTTATATACAGCTCAATATATCACATTAAAGTGCATGAGCGCCAAACCATAAAACACATTTGTAAAGTCCATTTTTTTGATGATTTTGTAATCAATACTTACATTTGTTGGCGTGCATTTGTGATAACATTGATTTCTTTCAAGTATACAATCAGTTAGTGGTAATAATCATAATGCCAGTGATGTAGCTTAGGTTACAGGTGGGGTATAATCACAACAAGGCTTGTCCAGCGATGGAAATGCTTACTATTAAGGTCAAATTCAACTAAAAGACAAGATATAGTTACAGTTTTGATATACTGTAACCATATACTGTACCTTTAAGTTATTTTTGAATGAGAACACATTTGGGGATGCTGTAAAACATGTGTGAGGAATAAAGACCGTTTAAAAGCCTTGTGAGAATACATTAAATATATCCAATAGAGTGTCTACTACTTCACATCACATGTACACTCTTGTTCACTCAACAGTCAAGGGCAACACACACATTCCAAACATGCACACACACTCGAACATGCATATAGGCAGACATGTGAGGAAGGGGTTACAGTATGCTTCTTCAATGTTTCAGTAAGACACTTCATTGTGGCGTTTAGTAGTTGCAGAGAGTGAAACAAATGAAAGGTGAGAGCGGGAAGTGTGTGATAGATGAAAGACAAAACATCAGCCGGGGGTTAGCCATGGTGGATTTGCGGGATTACATCTGATGAAATGTCCTTTGAGAGGGAATAATGGGAATAATGGGATAACTGTTCCCTCACATGACAAGCCAGTACCCTCATGTCCTATTTTTTCACTCAGGCTACCCTGGGGCAATGTGTATGTTTATGTGCGTGTCTTTCTGAGGCCCAGATATACACAGAAGGTTATAGATTAAAATATCCCAGCCAGTTACTTGGCCCTTTCTTTTAAGTCTTTTTAACATGGTCTCAGGCCAATGACAGCATGGGTCGGCTGATCTAGTCCAGCATTGACAACCCTGTGGACTTCTCCTATAACGGAAGCAGCAGGGGTCGTAGGTGTCAGGTGTGTGAGCATTTCAACATGCACCTAGTTTCCAAAAAACACTCTCCTTAAAGACTTAACACCAGAAGGAGAAGCACTGTACGGCATGTTCAAATGTGTACAGGGGTGTGCTGTGACTATAATATATAATATGCACTTATTGCAGTTTCAATAACATCCCTGTAGAAAGAATCGAGCTTCAACAACCAACCTCCACGGTTCTTGATCACTAAATCTACAATATACAGCAGTTATTGCAGTCAACAAATTGCGCAGCTTTCCACCTCATTGCCTATTTTTCACATGTTATTCAATGACATCCTAATTCAATCATAAAGAGACTGGATGTGGGTTTGTTGAGGATATTAAAAAAGGGGGTGAACAAAGGCCTTGTAATTGTTTTTAAATGAAATGCACAGGACTCAGAAAGCATGTGTGAATACGCTCCTGATTTTAAGAATAGCACCCTTAATTCAAGAGAACACAAAGCAAAATGAGGGAAAGTTGGTAAGTAAAAAAAAATCCCTTTTTAACAAGGTTTCAGGCAGCACAAACAAATACAAAAATAAGATGTTAAAGTGGCAATAGACAAGTTGTTTTACTTATCATTATGAATTAAAGGGGGGGCAATCTGATGACTGTAGAGCAATGACGACCAGCATTCAGAATGATTTCCCATCAGCCTCGCTTTCCCTCAATTGCAATTCTGTCTGCCTTGGGAAAATTAAGGCTTGATTTACAGTTTCCTGTGCAGCGTTGCCAACTATTTTCTATGAAAAAGTAGCTAAAAGTCGGCAGGCTTTTTGTCATATTGGCCAAGTCACTGCATTAATTGCATAAAGGTTATTGATTGTGCCATTGCTTGCGGAAAAGTCGTCTATTGTTACTTTAATTTGTGTTATTGGACCATATGAAGTAGATGTGCGTGGTGGGGGTCAGTGTGGTGACGTGGTGGGGGTCAGTGTGGTGACTTGGTGTGATGGGACTGTGTGGAAAGCGAGGTAGGCGTGTTAATCAAACACACATAAATGCACTAACACACAATCGCTCTCCCACACACTCCTTGATGGTCCCCAGAGACATGTTCCCCTTAAATTAAAACATAACAGTTAAAAGTAAAGTAATACTCTCTATATATAAAAGCAGGTAAATAACACTACTCTTGTCTCCATGGTAACTAAATTGTGAGACAGCCATTCTAGGATGGAAGATGGACTGAAGATACTTTATCTTCGACAGGTGTGAGACAGTACTAGAGGGACAGGAGGCTGATAGCTATGTGAAGAATCTAATGAACCTGTTGTCATGGTAACAACCGTGTGGGAGCGCCACACAGAGATGATGGTTGCGGGCTGGGGATCTGGCAGTGAGATGTGTCTATGATCACTCAGGGTTGAAGGAGAGGAGGCTGCTACGTTCCCAGCCCCACGGCACCTCACGCACTCTTCCTGGCCCCCTCTGCGTCCTGGCACTCCACCACAGAGAGCGAGATCAGCATCTGGGCGGCGTAGTACGTGGCCATGATGATGGCGCGCGAATGGGGAACAGGGAAGCAAAACTTATTGACGGCGATGGTGAGGTCGGAGACCATGAAGAGCACGGCGCCAAGGCAGGCGCACAGCTTGGTCCAGGTCCACAGGTCGTTGGCCAGCTGCAGGCCGGCCACCGACCTCCAGCCCATGAAGCCGATCAGACCGACGTAGACGGCCACCAGGTAGGTGAAGGGGCCCGACAGGTAGGGGTACAGCAGCAGGTAGCTCACTGAAGACACAGCAGTGACCACCAGGCCAGCAGTCACATTAACGGGCTTCATCCCGAAGGCCGAGGAGTACAGGATGTGGGTGATGGCAAACATCAGAAGGCCTGCAGGAAAAGATGATTTCAAAGTAAATAAACATTTTTTACATTTGTATCCTACCTATCTGTCGTAGGTCAAAGCTTGAATCATGACACAATAAAATAAGGGGTAATTACAACTTGGATGTCATATTTTTAGCGTTGACCGATGTCTCTATGGGTTATGACAACTTTTTAACTCTCCATAGTACATTCTTTGAACTGGAAACACAGAGATATTGCAACAGCATGTCCCAACAGGTCTAATGGTCCAAAAAAGATGAGGCCAACAGCTTTGTCAAACTAGCTACCACTCATGGAGGTAAACTCAGGAAGTAGGAGGGGGAAAAAGTAAGAACAGCAGGTCAAAGTCAACCCAGAAGTTATGTCTGTAAATAATAATCATCAATGAGGAATGTTTAGAACAGATGTGCCAGGTGTTGTCATTTTGTCTTAAAGGTTTATTTGGGGGGGGTTAATTTAAACTTTACAGCTAACTTTGGGTTCCCAGATACAATTCCCATATTCAATGATGGCTAAACATTAAAAAAATAAGGCCCAAACTGAGATGTAAAATGAATGAGTAATAAGTCCTGTCGACAATAATAATGAAGCAACTCAGTGAGTGTGGATTTGGCTCACCGTGGACGAAGTAGCCCTGCTCCTGCCAGATGAGAAAGGCATCGCCCAGAGCAGAAAAGACGAGGCCAGCAAAGATCTTGCGAGCATTGGAGCTAGCACCTAGGAAGCTGAAGCCATGCGCCAGTAAGAACATCCAGAGGCAGAAGATGGGTAGACATTTGATCAGTGCGCTGAACCAGGAGGGGCTGGAGGTGGGCAGCCACAGCACAAAGTACACACAGGTGGCCTTGAAGAATGGCACCAGCTTTGGGCCTTCACTCTTGACCTGTAAGCAGTTTCAATATTAACATTCATTATTTTGTCATAGCTGGTTGCACTAACATAAGGGAATCCTATTCAGTGAGCCGTGTGACACCATTTACATTCTGCCTTAAACTAGATTTAACAAAAGTCCCTTTATTTCAAGGAAGAGGGCTTGAGATATGATAAGACAGGAAGCAGACACTTCAAAGCAGACAGCACTGTGTGTGGTGGAGTGACAGTTTCTCACATTGATTAAAAAGGAAACATAATCAGCAGAACACTGCAACTATTTCTCCTTATTTGGCAAAGTGGTTAGGGTTCAGAATGGAACAGCCTTCAGGGTTGCTTTGTGGTCACTAGTTTGCATCTCTGTGTCAGACATGCACGTGTTTTGTGGCTGAAATGAAACTCAAAAATAATGGGAAATGAAAAAAGGCTCCACACTGTTCCTTTGACCTCCTGTAACCTGTTCTTCTCTTCATTTTTTGACTCTCCCTGTTGTGTTATTTTTCTCCTTCTCCTGTTTCACCTTCATTCTCAGTATCTCTTGAGAACTGTGAAGCATATTGAGGTCTCAGTTTCGTCTTTCAAGCTGTGATACCACTGTACATATTTATTTCTGTCCAAATACATGAGGCCCAACTGGGTCACAAAGAAACAAAGAGGTTTCACAACACCTCTGGAATGACTACCCTACAATGGTTCTGAGAAATGCTTAAGGGAAAAAAGCCCCAGGGAATCGAAGAGGGAGAAGAAAGGGGATGTTGAGTTTCAAAGGAGAGGAATTGAGTGAGGATTCACTAGAGCTGAGATCACTGGAGGAGAGATGAGGAGGAGACAAAAAAGACAGGGAAGGGAGGAAGAAGAAGGGGTTATAGTGAAACAAGGAAAGGGTTGTGATGTCCCAATTGACAGTTTTCCAGTTGCTCTTTCGCATCCATCTGATAAATGATTTAAAAAGCGAAGCTCTGATTGCCATATTCACAAAAACATAAGTGAGAGTGGCAGATAAGAAGAAGTAGGATGAATCATGGGGAAGTGACGCTATTGGGAGGGGGACAGTGAGAGAGATGGGGTTACAAGCATTCAGATGACAGCTAGATTTAGGATTGAACAAATCAGTTGGGAGGGAGGTGAGGAGGTGAGAGAAAATTAAGGGTTACTATAGGTCATATTTTCTATGCTCCAGGAGTGTAGTGCACCAGCTGGGCGTAAAAAAGGAGGTCTTAACTCTAACCTCCTTTTTGACAGCTTAGCTACGTCCGACTTAGTGATTCGAATTAACACCGAGTGCACCAAGCCTGACTAGTCACGGTCGTAGCTGCACCTAGTCTTAAGATGCACGTCCACGTCAATACACACGAAACACTAATTGTTGCCAAGCAACACACGTCTACATAATTTAACACTCTAACTTCTCCATTCAAAGCAGCCCGTTAGCGTAAAATCTGAGCGCAATCAGCACCTGCAAGGTTGGGGAGAGCGCCGCGTTTCGGTTTGATCCATGCTGTAGTTGAGGGGAGATCTCCTCGATTAATTCAAAAAGGGCTTGTCTGTCGAAACGAAACCTCCATCAGCTCATTGTCCGAATAGATGTAGAGGGTTTGTTCGATCACGGACGACTCTCTCGTCTTAATGCCCTTTCATTGTTAAACCTGTAAACAAGACGCACTGCCATCATTATATTTCCTTCTTGCCTGTTTTACGTTACTATGGATGCTACTCTGTCTTTCCGATTTACGCCTGCTCCATACTAGGCATAAAAGTTACACCCAGGCGCAACGCATACAGGGCTTAGGTCTAAGTGGTGCACTAGTCATAACTTTAGTTTGGTCTTAACCTTCGGTTCTACGTCGGACGTAGAGTTACACCCAGTCTTACGCCCACTCCTGGGATATGAACTATGGTAACCCCTAAGGAGGATCCTTATTGCACAACTGCTCAAAAAAGTTGTGGGCAAAAAGATCAGACTAAATGTTTGACCTCAAGCCTGCCCTGAGGCCTATACTACGAATCAAGATTTTCGTTTAGCAAGCTAACTTCAGGGGTTTCCGGTCCTACGAAGCTGGTTCACTTTTTAGCAGGCTAGATAACTTATTCTGAACGGCTAGCCTCCGGAGCAGGATAGGTTCCAGGATAAAAGCACTGCCTGCTGACCAATCAGAGCTCATTGTGCGGAGTTTAAAGCGATCAATTCATATTACAGGAGAAAGGAAATACAGTTTAAACTGCCGTTGCAGGAAAGACGGCCGGCCAAAATCACCGACTGTGTGAGCGTGAAAATGAATAGAATATCACCTCCCATCTTCAGAGCAATCTGACTATTATAACATTAGCGTTAAGAAAGCTTACTTAAATATCTGCCACAACATAAGTAACCGGATCAAAGTAACATTACGTAGTATTGAAGTATTCGATGTTCTCGCGCCCAGGAGAGGAGCTTAGAATGAAGAGACTAATGGAGTCTCCGAAAAGGTTCAAATTGGTTGAGTTTAATTAAGTAACGTGGTTAAAGAACAAGCATGGGTAAGGAGAGACAAAGCCGGTGATGTCTTCAGGGTGGGCTGCAGCGAAGAAAAGAGCGAGCTGTCTTCCGTCCTGTCTTTTTATTCACGTCTCGTTGTCTCCCGCTGTGCAGATAGTGGGACCGCCCTTCTCATCTGTGGGTTCGATATCGCGAGAGAACAGATGATTTCGACATTGGTATTTTCTGCCTACTTCCTTAAGCATTTTCTCCTCCTTATCTCTGTCATGACTTTCTATTTAATACCTTATAAACAGCTGTAATCGTTAGTTTAGAAGTCCTAAAAACGCCTCTATGGCACGGTTCTCATTTACGGTAGCTCCCTCTGACGTCATAGCTACTCACGTAATGTGTAAACACTCCATGATCAACTGTTCCTTCATTTAATATTCAGCAGTAATAATATCTTAACGTCTATCGATGTAGTGTTAAAGTTCGTACGATTTGGTGTGTAACACTCCAAGTCATTTTCACTTTACATTCAGAAAACGTAACATTAGTCACATGCTAACCGGATAAAGGATTTTCAGAATAAAAGCTTGGCATTGATTTCCTGAGAACTTCCGGGTTTTTCCACAATAAAACAGCTTTAAACTGACGATATGTTTTAGACTGAATTATGCTGTTTAACATTGATTTTAATTTATAACAGTAGCCTACAGTCCGCGGCACTGTGAGTGCAGACGGCGATGTGTCCCATTATCATTCATATCACATGATATCACATCATAATGTATCATATATTTCCTTATCCGAGTCAGCTTCTTGAGCCGTATCTGGCCGTGCAACACTCACAGTGTCACATACTGTATGCAGAAGTATTATTTTAAGCAACACATTAAGTTGACGAAACACTCGAGTCAAATGTAATTCAAGTCAGATCCACTCGTGTCTTAGACGGGGCAGTGATATCATAAACCTGTTAATGTACGCATTCAAACACTTTTTCTTTTACCAGCTGTATTCACCTTGCAGGTGCAGCTATGTGGCTTTTATCCTGGATAAAGTGTTTAAGTCATGGATGTTTAAAGTCTTCATATTTGTATAATTATAGTTTACTTATCATTCAGGAAGTATGACGCTGCGCTGTCAGTACGCTTGTCCATGTTTGTGATTGGTCGAATGCTCCAAATACCACCCCTTTTATGTGAACGCGCACCTAACTAGATAGGACACGGCTGGCTTGAGCGATCCACTTGATAACCCGCGTCGTAGGACCGCTTAGCGAGAGCGCGTATGTTTTGGATTAGGCCAACCGGCTAACTCAAACATATCCAGGTTATGTTGAACCGGCTTCGTCGTACAGGCCTCTGGTGAAGCTGATACGACTAACACCACACACCACACACACACACTCAGAGGGCCGTACAAATTATTGAACTCAACCTCTGCTTAAAAAAACTAAAATCACAGCCCATTAATTTCGCCTTTCTTTCATGCTGTGCAAAGAAAAAGCAACCATTTAATCCAGATATCTTAACATGACTCGCGCATGCATGTGCATGGTTGTGGCATGACCACGAAAACAGAAATATATGGACACAAGATGTGTGCAAATGTATTTAGTATCCTATCCATGTGGACTTCCTTTAACCCTTGTGCCCTCCTCGAATTTTCAACCTTTCGACCCCTTCGTGGCAAAAATGTACACGCCCATAATAACTGCTATTAAATCATCATACATCAACATTTTTCTACTTTTTTTTTTTCATGAATCACTTAAACAACTTATAACGTACTCAAAACTACCAATCATTCAATAATTTTCTGGATTTTAACCCTTTAAATGCCTGTTTAATTATTTGAATTATTTCATTATTTATGACAAAAAACGAATTTTTTTCAATATAATAATTAGTAGAGGGATGGAACTTTGGTGGTTACTAGAGTCTTGGATGTGTCAAAGATTAGCAACAAAATTGATTTCACTGCATTATTATTTTGTACGTAGTGTCAGATACTACCTCTGGACCCCTTCGTGGCAAAAATGTACACGCCCATAATAACTTCTATTAAATCATCATATATCAATATTTCTTTCTACTTTTTGTTTCATGAATCACATAAACAACTTATAACATACTCAGAACTAGCAAACATTCAATACTTTTCTGGATTTTAACCCTTTAAATGCCTGTTTAATTATTTGAATTATTTCATTATTTATTACAAAAAAACACAAAAAATGAATTTTTTTCAATATAATAATTAGTAGAGGGATGGAACTTTGGTGGTTATTAGAGTCTGGGATGTGTCAAAGATTAGCAACAAAATTGATTTGACTGCATTATTATTTTTTACGTAGTATCAGATACTACCTCTGAACACCTTCGTGGCAAAAATGTACACGCCCATAATAACTTCTATTAAATCATCATACATCAATATTTTTTTCAACTTTTTTTTCATGAATCACATAAACAACTTCTAACGTACTCAAAACTACCAAACATTCAATCATTGTCAGGATTTTAACCCTTTAAACGCCTGTTTCATTA